CAAGGAGAAAACAAGACTGGCAACGCTCGCTGCGAAGTCAGCCTTCCGACTCCTCCAACAGCATCCCTGATAATGCTTTAATTATTAGCCCTTCTGAAAATAAGACTTATTTCCACGGCCTGGCACGCCTCGGCGCCGCAAACTTTCTCTGGGTTGGAAATGAGATTCTTTTTCTTCTTTTCCCCCTGCTCTACACACAGTATTACTCAGAAACAAGCCAAATCCCTTCCAATTATGTATCACGACGTTTCCCCAGTGTTACACTAAAGCAAGGCCCTTCACTTCTAAATGGCATGGTTTATAACAAATTGTCTGTTATACCAGACAGAAACTGATTTCCCCAAACCCAGCATATTAAAGTGAGTACATTCATTCTGGTTGTAACACACAAAATGTGATTATAACAGACACTTTGGGGGCTTTTTAAGGCTAGCGGAGAAGGGGAGGATAAGCTGGAGGGGAAGAAAGAATTGACAAGTAGAGAAATGACAGAGAAAGAGGAACAGCCACGCTGATTTCATTTCTTACAAAACAAAAATCTTTGTGTGTTGTAGAAATGTGCTTTAGTTAACACGGCCAGATAGCCAGAGCAAAAACTGCCAGTGCTGCCTGAAACGAAAATTGCTCTATTGTGCTTAGAAAACCATTTCCTATAGCGAGGAGAACGCTTTCCAGGTAGTAAAAAGCCTATCTGAAACCAACAGGGCCTTATCCTGCAACTGTTGCTCACTCAAATAATCCCCACTGCTACGAGGAGCCCAAACGAAATCAGTGTGAGTGAGGATTACGCGGGAGTGTATCAAGGTTGGGGGATTAGACTGGGATTATCACTAAAACCAGTAATTCCCCATCTTACTGATGGTGGCCTCCAGCTCAGCAGCGGGTGGATCATCACCACCACAACCCCCGAGCTGGACGCAGCTCTTGGAGGGCACGTGGGTCCCTGGAGGACTCAAGTCCAGCTGGATCAGTGGCTGCTCCACCTTCACCTTCTCCAGTGAGAGCTACCAAAGCAGCACCAGAGCAAGGCTGTGCCTGATCCACACCCTGCTTACGGTGTCCCAGGGCAGCATGTGATGCTTTGGCACCACTCCCCAAAGAGGCACAGATTTTGGATGTAAAACTGCCTCTGAAACACAGACGTGGTCACAACTCGCACACTGTTTTCTTTTAAAACCAGGAAGTCAAAATCCAGGCATGTAAGTGTTACCCAAGGGTGGTTGCTCTACATGCAAGTCGTGTCCCAGGGATCCTAAAAGGCTCAGCATTCAGACTGGTTTCCACACCACCCCAATCCAACATGCATTTTTATCAAGGAAGCTGCCAAATGGTTCCTATTAATTTTGGGTTTTAATCTCCTGATACAACTTCCAGTAATGCATATTCAACATGTGACAACAAGCCCTTTCGGTTTCAAAGCTGACTTCTCC